CTCCTGGCAGAGCCGGCTGCTGTTGGCTGCCTCCTCGGAGGCTGAGGCCAGCCCCAGCCCCAGCCAGGAGGCCAGGACCAGCACCAGCAGCCCCATCCCAGACTCCCGGCCCTGGCAGAGGTAAACAGGGTATTAGTGTCCCCTCTGCCCCAGGGCTCAAAGAGATGGGGTCCTCCCAGCCCCTCTGCAATTCCAAACTGCCTCCCTGCACCTCACTCCAGGGCAGACAAAGACCAGTGGGCAGTGCCAGACTGGTCCCGGCACCACACTGGAAGCCGGGACCCCCATGCTGGGGGGGCAAGTAAAGTGGTGAGGGGACCGGGGTGCCCAGCTCCTGTCAAGCACAGCACCCTTGCCACCAGCTTTCATGGACACCTGCTGCCACAGGTGGCTGCCCCAGTTTCCCCCAGCAGCAAGGCACCTGGTCCACATGCTGGGTGGTGCAGCTGAAGGTCATGCTCCCCCCACAGGCCTCCTCCACCTCCCTGCCCCCAAAACCCAAACCCAGCCCTGGCCAAGAGTCTGTCTTTGCCCCAGAGAGGGGCAGGGATGCAGTCCCCATCGTCTTGGCCACTAGCAGGGAGTCATTGGGACAGGGATGGTTTCACCTTCAGGTCACCTTGAGAGTCCTTGATGCCCCACAAAGTGCTTTGGGCGTGCACAGAGCCTTTAAATCCCCTGCCAATATCTGCCTGAAGCCCCTTCCTATACAGCCCCCTAACCCTGTGCACCCCAAGATACACCCTGTGCCTCCAGGATGCAGCACATTTAACGGGCAGGGGAAGGACACAGGGCTGGGGAGGTCAATCTGGGGAGGTGGGGAGGGAGCAGGGGGCTGTGGGGTCTGGTCAGGATGGATGTACCCCAAATCCCCAGCCCTCTTCCCCGCGAGAACGAGCCCTCGATACCGCACTTCTCCTTACTGCCGTCCTCTGGCCAGACCTCGCTCCCAGCCCCAGCAGCTCTCGGCAATGCCCAGCTGGCCCTGGTCTCCCTTTTATCTACTGTCCACTCTCCCCGCCCAGGAGGGAGGAGAAGAGCCTGGCTGAAGCAGTGGGAACTGCTCCCTGGCCACCACCGCCTGCCTCAGGGACG